CTGAGCGAAATTATTCCACTTAGTCAATTACGTTCCTTAATTTGAAACAATTAAGCGGTGAACAGGTTTAAACTGGTGCAGGTGAACCGAACGGGCCTAGAATAAGTATGCTTTAACGTTCATTCCTTATCCTTTTTTTGCGTTTCGTAGGTAGCATTATCATCTCGTCATGTGGCTGCCTTACTTGCCCTTTCATTTTCGAAAACTCGACACCCAGTAGGCTGCTAAGCATTCTACGCCGTAATAATAACGCGGCTTGTCATTCGTTATGTGTAAGCACCGGGCGCGCTTACGTACGCCGTAGTAGGGGGACTATAGATTAATTTCGCCCACCTGCCCTACCAGCAGTGGCCGACGATCGGGAACAGCTTGGATTCCCATCGTCTTCCGTTATCAATGGCCAATGCCCGGACAGCGTGATAGAAAAGGGCATGGCCTACAAGCAAAATATGGGCGAGATGGTAGCGAATTAAGGCCTCCAATCTTATTTTAAAAGTGTGCGTTTCTTTTAGTTTTTGGCCCTTCTCAATAATTAGAATAGAACGAAACAAAAGTTTTGGGAAATACCTGTGATATTTAACATAGAGGCCAAGGGCTTTCCTGACACATACCGTGGTTGCTGGCCAATGCTCACAGAATTAGCCTGGTCATCAAGCCTACTTACTTTTGTGTATTATATACTATTCGATGAAAATTCGTGGCACGCGAGCGCGTACAAGCGGTAAAGAAGTAAAGTGGTTAGAGCGAATGTGTCCGTTTCTTTGGGCACTTTGTCGTGAAGTCAGACGAACAGCTACCGAATAGCCATGGACGATCATTTTTTCCGGTCATTAATTCAGTTCGCACTGCCTTCTCTACGCAATACCTCTTTTTGTTTTCTTTTCATACAAAGGACCAGTAGTACGTGGCTACAAAGGTGACTTACAAAGGACCAGTAGTACCAGTAGTGTACCAGCAAGTGCACAGTGTGGCGTTAAAACTGCACACTTTTTACCGCGTGCACGCAGTTTGGCCCATGCACAGCCCTACGGCGCTTAAGAAAAATAGTTCACCAAAGCATCCAGACAGGCGATTCTCAGAAGCTTACAAACTGTGACAGCTGTAAAGCGCTTACGTAATAGTACATAAGTCATCAAAAATATTGGAATTCATCTAGCTTTCAGCCGGTATACACGCATGCACAGTTTATGCTCGCTTCCACATTCCACCGCGTGAGTGTATGACTGCGCGCCGTCTTCACCAAGGAGGATATAAAAACCTGCTGGAGTGGAAGCCGCCTATGCTTACCCATGGGAGGGGGTGAAGCCGCGCCGAGCCACCGGCGGCCATCTTGGCAGAGGCAAGAAACAGCCGAGTACAGCTGCGCTCGCGCTTATCTAAGCAGCAGGTGCAGTTTCTCGCGTCTTCAAAGCAATAAAAACAGTTGTGTCAGGTTGTAAGCATTTATTCTTTGCTTTTTGGTGGCGAAATGGCCTACGATAACGCTTTGAGAAACTCGAAAATGGCAGAAAAAACACAATCACACAAACATTAAAAATATATGCGAACAGTATAGCCGAAACGAGCAGTGCGGGGAGACTCACTGATGTTTGAAAATGATCATTCTTGAAAGAACTGGCCTGACCCTGTCCTTGATGATCTCGCGGTTTCTTTCTTTTGTCATATGGTGGATGCGGATTTTCACATACAGCTGCGCAACTTTTTTGCACAAGCTGTAGATATGATTGTCGAGGGGATCAAGGTCAAGAATGTGCTGCTCTAGGTTCTGAAACCATTTTTCCTCTACAGACAGTCGTAGCACTTCCAAAACGAGATGCTTTGACTGGGAGTTAACTGCTTGAAGTGTTCCACACTCAATCTGTAGCCATCGCAGCCCCTTTTCAACGGCTTCACACAAACCAATGACATCCTTGGACGGGGACACAAGCCCACCTCTGTTTTTCTGCTCAACTAGGGGAACTAGCTCATCTGAGTACAGGGCTGCAATGCACTCTTCGCATGTTGTTGTCTTGCACACTTGGCGTACAACGAAGCCTGCGATATAAGGCACCACCGCAACAACTACGGCAGAAAGGTTTTCAGGATGCGTGTAGTCGTGGTCATCGTGAGGCTCCAAGATCGAGGACCTGCGCATGTCTGTGAGCGCGCTTGTTGCGTCTACCTGGGCGACAACAGTAGTGGCATTCAGGATGGAAACCATGTCTTTGGTGCAGTTTCCCGAGCTAGAAGACGTCACTTCTGTTTGCACCAGCAAACGCTTGTATGCTGCAATGAACTGAGCAGCGGTTGGGTTGTTGTTATACCCACCTCGGCCACGAACAGATCCGAAGAAGTTCTCAGCGTGATCCTGGCTCAGTTTGTGCGTCAACAAGTACTTCAGCTTACCCTGGCCAACAAGCTCGTCGAACATTTTTTCAGTGCTCGCCATGCAGATCAAGAAGCCCACAAAACCAGTTTTTTTCAAGCCTTCTAAAACTGGCCGCCCAGCCGGATCTCTCAATCCCTTTATATACGCTTGGGTGTAGACAAAGAATGGCTTCCAGCAGGCTTCATTCTGCTTCCGCAGAGGAGCCTTGTACGACCTTGCAAAAGGGTTCCTAGAATTAAAAAGGTCGAACAGGTGATCGAAGACCCTCACGAACTTCGATGTTGCACTGGCGCCCCGGAACTGGGGTAGCTTCAGCACATTTTCACAGAAGTCCAAGGCGTGAGCCACAGAGGAACTCAATGCTTGCGCAGCATATCGCACCTTCATCTTTTGTTTTTCCCATTGCACGTGGACTTTCGTGAGTTTGTTGCCCAGCCGCAGCCCTTCGGAACGCTGCAATGCCTCCAATGCCACTATGTAGGCCCACTTTATGTGCTTTCCTTCAGCATCAACAATGTAGCTTAAGTTCGCCAAGGAATTGCGAATAAGCTTAATCATGTGGCAGGCGTCTAGGATAATGTAAACATTCTTAGCATCGTCAGCTGGGTTCACAAAGCTTGAAGAAATTTGCTCACAGTCAACACGAAGTTGAGCACCTAAACACCTGGCCATAGTGAAATTCGACGAGGCTCCGTCAAATGTGAGAGAGACTACTTCAGCCTTCACCGACGCAAGCTTCTCAATGCACTGTTTGGCCAGCTCGGCCCTCTCTGCTCCTGTGAGTGAGTCTATTAAGAAGTATCCAACTGGCACCTTAAAACTGACGTTGATTCCAACGATCATGAAGACACACGCATTTGCAGCTTCAGGAAGACCGTCATCGTCAAGCCCAGTTCCGAAGTCAACATACCCTACTACCTTATCTCCAACTAGCTCTACGTGTTTCCTGATGGCCATGTCGTCTACAATGAGAGCGCAGTAGAAGGGTTCATCACGTGCTTCCGCAAACTTCTCAAAGAAAGCAAATGCTTCGGCTGTGAAGCCAGGAGCTCCTTGAATCGACTTGTACCAGCCCCTTAGTGTTCGCTGGGATGGGAGGGCTTCGTTGAATTTGGATCGTACATACTCGTACGCGGCTGGACTGTAAAAATGCAAAGTCAGTGCAAATGCTCGCAGCTCAGGTGGGTACTTGCCCTTCTGCTCATTGCCACCCTGCAAAGTAGTTGCTGAATGTCATCCGAGAAAACAGATGAAAACACATGTGAGCCTTCTTCTGACAACAGTTTTTGCTCTCTGATTTCTTTGATGATTTCTTGGGCGGTTTCATTTCTCTTGACCAGCCTTCGTTTAGTTTGTTGCAGTGTTTTGACCTTCTTCTTCAACTGGGTTATCTCTTCTTGTGAGGAAAGGTCCTTGTCTTTGTAGAACAGTTTGGTTGGCGAGTCTTCAGGAAAATTTTCAGCTCCAGGCAGGTCGCACAACCCAGAACACTCAGGACCAGGCGGGGCCAGGAAATCTCGAGACTTGGGGTCGGGACGCTTCTGTTTGACCTGGGTTTGAAAGCATACGTTTTCTCAGACGAGCTAAAAAGGCAGCAAGCGCAAAAACTAAATGAAACCTCACACGTATAATGTGGGTGCAATTAAGCTACACATTTTCTTTGAAGAAATAATAAATGTATTAAGTAACAAGCTTTTTCATAATCGTGCACGAGACATTGTATGCCAGCAAAAAGGACATGCACCCGCTCTGGTATAACTTTCCATTCGCCGGATGTGCCTTTAAGTATTAAATTGTAACCACTGTCAGTATGCTGTGGATGTCAATAATGTTTTTGTAGTAAACATTGCTGTATGCCCATTCCTGCTTAAGACCTGGTAAACAGGTCAGCAGTAATAAATAAATAAATATGTATCTTGATCACCAGTTAAGGCGAAGGTGAAGCAGTTACCATTACCGGTAACTTCACCTTCGCCGGCGGCGTCCGGTAATGCGGTAAACGGTAACGCAAACACGGTAACGATATGCTAAAACTACAGCTACTCCTCCACAGTACCGCCAATTCTCGGCACGCAATCAATGCCACGTATACCCGCAACAACATTTCGTGGAACAAGTATTATGTAGCGGCCGTAACGCCACAAGCGTTATGCACGCTAAACATTACGCTTCTCGTCCAACGATGGCAGTAATACTCACAGGTTTCTGCAGATGAGGCGGAAAAGCTGGAAACGACGTGGGCACACTTCCCACCCGCAGTCGCGTCGTTTGCCCAGTGCGGTCAAAGCACTCAGGACTGAAATGTACAGAGCACATGCGGTCTCCATCCTTAGCGCGCCACCCTTCACGGCGAACTGCCCGCTCCCAAAGACTCCGAACTTCTGCATTCTTTGGAAACCTGTCAACAAATATACGACAATCAACTGCGGCACACGTACACACAATGCCATTTTGCTGCTCTTTCATGCGCGGGCCTGCAAGCAACTACAATGCGGCTGAAATGACCGCGAGTAGAACACGCTAAATTTCATGTACTTACAGGTGAAATGTGAGGCCAGAACCTTTCTTCAGCCTGTTTGTGCGTAGGCAACACAGGAGGTAACCATTATCCAAGAGCAAGACTTGCACTCATTGAAAACTTTGAAGAGAACAGCGTGCACCAGCAACGAAGCGTGGAGGCGACACACCGGCAGCGCGCTTTCTGCCTCCGGCAAGATGGCTGCCGCTGGCGTCACCTGACGGGCGTCGCTTCCACTCCAGCAAGTTTTTATATCCTCCTTGGTCTTCACCTTGTTCGCACGTTGGATGCTCCAGATGGTATTTGGATGGATGTCACGGCCGTCACAGCCGTGCAGCGACCAGCTGTTTATTCAAGTTGAAATGGAAGGTTAGTAAATATTAGCAGTACCTGTATTTGCCCTTGTTCTCTCAGTGCCTTATGCGAATTGGTGGTCAGGTTTACGGCGACGAAAATAGCGCATGTGTTAAGAAGCGGGTGCTGCGTAGTCCTAGCTATAGTTCTAGCTCGTCTTGGCGAAATTGCACATAGAGTAGTTTTCTCTTGTTGCAAGTAAAAACCGGACAAATTCGAAACGTTCTTCGGTACAATATTCAAGCACCTATTCGATTCGGCGTATTTTTTAAATAAGCGATACACTGTTTTCGGGGAAAACTTGAAATTAACTGAAGCGACCCGGTCCGAAGGACAGTCGCCCAGCCGCCGGTTGTGTATGTTGACGCGTGGTGTGCGGCCATTTCTTTTTCGCTTCTGGCGGGACTGCCTGTCGCTGACGGCGAGTGCATCCTAACGCACCATGCTATTTAGGGTCGACGCGAGAGCGTTATTAATTCATTCGAAATTATAAACTTGTGCCTGCGGTCATACTTAAAAGGTAATCAGATATGAAGGCTGGTGCCGAATGCGAGAAAGGGGGGGGGGGGGGGGGGGTCACCATCCAAATTCAGCCTGTATTTTTTTTCTTTTACGTAAAGCTTTGATGCAATAAGGTTCCTCGCTATTGTTGGGTCTACTTTAGTGGAATTCTACTTTTGAAAAAAAAAAACTATCATGATGGCGATATTAGCTTTAGCGACTTCGGGATTTCATTTATCAATATTGAGAAAGTAGTCATTTTAGATCTTGGTACACTTTGAAAGTTGTGGTTAGTCACTAAGTACGCAACGTTGGTGAGCCATGCTATTCTGTATGTAATGCATTTCTTCAGAATTTTCATTATATGATATGTCATAAATGATCTATATCAGCTAAGTGTATTATTAGTAATGTATATCTGTTCTATTTTCTTGCATGGAGTGAGTGTCACTTGTCAGACTATTTATAAATTACACAAAAACACACGATTCTTCCAGTTGTCTAAAAGAAACTTTATAAAATTTACACAAAAAATGCTGTTTACAAGAAATAGTCAGGCCTAAATACTGACTGGGTCTTGTTAATTTTAATCACAATTTTCTACAATAAAGGCATAATTTTACCAGTCCTACAAGTACTTGCAGAATGTGCAATGAATATTTTGATGAAATGATGCTGTTTTGTTATGGCAAGATAATCTTTTTGTTGGTACGATAACCACTGCATATAGTAGATAATTTTTCAAAGCTTTTAGACATAAGTGTTACGTTTATCAATTTTCTAATTTATGTATTGCTTTTTTGTTACAGGTCAGCTATTTTTTCATAGAAAGTGTCAGCAGTGCTGAATACGCAGTGCACAGAAAGCTCCATCATATTGTACTAGTGCGGTTACAAAGAAGTACTGCTAGGCCACTGAGAAGAATTTTCCATTGAAATACCTGCAAATGTGCTGCTGCTTCTGCTTGGTGAGCATCAACAGAAAAATAAATTGGTTTCTTGCTTTGGCTTTTATTGGCAACATCCTCATTACTTTTTGTTATGTAGACTTCTCTATGTTGATATTTTGGTTGCTGTTCCTTAAAAATCTTTCACTAGGACCAGAATATTACACATACTGCATAACTGATGTTTGTTTGAAAATTTGACCGACTAATACATTTTTTTTAGTTATATATGCTGCCTCCCTGTAAAAAGCCAACTTCTGCCATCTGGAGCAAGATTGAGCATTGAAACAGTTTCACTGCCACCATATTCACCACCTAAATGTTGTCTAATCTTATTTCCTTTTCTATCAGCTTGCCAATTTGTGGGAGCCGAGAACCAGAGCACATAACCAATTTCATCGTTAAAACAGTTAGCTGCATGACTAAGCGGCAGCACTGCTCAATAATGAGCATCGAAATAAAATAAAGCATTGACAGCACAAGCTACACGACAAAAATAACCTTCGTAAATAAAAGTGCATTGACTACCTCAGTAATGTTTATAAATGTAAAGGTGTGTACATAAAAAAAAATCAAGGACACTAAACAGTGCTTCTGTGCCAATTCTGCTTCCACAATGATATCAGTAAAAAAATTACCCTTTTTTCGATTGAGAGAATATATGTTCTAGAATGTGCGAGGATGTTTTTCTTCATTTTTTTGTATTGATGGGGATCTCTGATTAATCACGCTACATCAGTAACAAAAATGCATCATGCAGTCCAAGAAGTATTTTCTTCCCGTCTGTGCAGGTGCTGCGATCCTCATAATCACGCATAACCGATTTGCCGTCCAACAAATGTTCCTACTGTGTTTTGTTGAAAATTGGTGAAAGTGGTTGCCTAAGGGATGACTTATTGAAGAAGAGGACCTCATGTTTTTTTTTCTTTTTCTAAATGAGACATACCCTGCTTAACAAAACTGATGCAGCTGTTTCGGATGTAATAAAAGGATGGCTGTGTTTGATTCAGATCAAGAAGGTGCACCTCTGCAAGATGGCATGCCAGTACGATAGATGACTTCAAGAGAAGCCCAAGCAACACTTCAGTTTGGAAAATGGAAAAATGGCATATTGCCCTCTATATAGTTTGTGTGAAATAAACCTGCAGCACCAAAAATATTTGTCTTGTCACTTCTCGTGGGAGGGGGGGGGGGGCATGCGAAAATCTAAAAAAAAAGTAGCTGGGCATCAAACTGTAGCCAAGACCAAAAATAAATGAGCCAGATATTGCATTGGCCAAAATGCTTTGCTATTGCACGGTATTTCAACGCAGTGCCAAGCATGGAAGAGATATTTCCAATAATTTTCCAAGCAAGGCCTTCCTTTGCTTGGCCAATGGTAGGCTTGTCACACTCCAATAACTTTCCAAGCATGGACAGCTTGGCCACTGATGATTTACCATGCTTGGCCCAAGCAAATTGCCGGTAGGGTGTGCGCACCTAAATATAGGCATACGGACGTTCTCTGTTTTTCTTTTTCATTAAAGTGCGGCCGCCATGACCGGGAACCGAACCCACGCCCTCGAGCTTGGCAGCGCGAGGGCGCGCAGTGTAATACAAAAGGGAGAGCACGCAAAATGTATTCATGGGCATTGTACAAGGTTGGCTTCAAGGAATGCACTTGTTTTAGGAGCGAAGGTTCTAGGCTCGCACGATGTTAGCTGCCGCCGTCGTCATAGGTCCGCGTCGGACGTCCGTTTTCATAGCCATGGTCGTCGGCAGCATTTTATTCTTGAGGGGTGCAAACGAGTACGTGTTGCTACACGGCTGAGGGAAAGATTGATTGATTGATATGTGGGGTTTAACGTCCCAAAACCACCATATGCTTATGAGAGACGCCGTAGTGGAGGGCTCCGGAAATTTCGACCACCTGGGGTTCTTTAACGTGCACCCAAATCTGAGCATACGGGCCTACAACATTTCCGCCTCCATCGGAAATGCAGCCACCGTAGCCGGGATTCGAACCCGTGACATGCGGGTCAGCAGCCGAGTACCTTAGCCACTAGACCACCGCGGCGGGGCAGCTGAGGGAAAGAAGTGGTGTACATTGGGTGGGGGCAAATGCTGAGGAGGCCAAGTGCCCCTTTTGTAACCCCTGCCGACGCCCATGTTCATAGCTCGCATATAGTACCGTTCGTGCGCCGACCCGTTCGTCCTTTTGTAAATGTGCTCATCTGCGGGGCTGGTCAGAATAGAACCCGATGCGCGCATCTCCCCTCTTGCATGATTGGACACTCCGTGGGCTCAGCGACGTTACCCATGGCAAAGCGCAAGTGCTGTAGAGCCTGACGCGTGACTAAACGCGACCGGCGTCCGTTGGCGCGCCCCGGTGGCCAGCTGGCACCCGTCGTAAACATTTCATAATCATCCAAGGAGCTTTGCTTTATCATCAGCATTCGCTTCGTGAATCGGGTGCCAATTTTTATAGTGTATTTTCCCGCATTACTAAAGTAGCGTCAGTCTTGTACCCGCAACCACTCGCCGAGTGACGTCACAGATTTCATGCAGTTCGAGTGCGAAAAAAAAAAAACAAGGCCTGCAATAGATGCAAAGCTGAAAATGGAGCATCTGACAAAAGCCTAGTTGCTGGGTAAATGCGATATCAGAGGTCCTTGGTTGCAACATGCTTAACAGTGTTGGCGGTAATGCGTTAAAAGTAAAGCCATTACCGGTAGCGCGTTATCTTTTTCGGTGACTTAGAGACGTACTCGTTACATGTCCAGAACAGTAGCGGGTAACGTACTTACGTTACCATTTTTCGTTAACGTGGGGTGTCATGTTACTCGTTACTTTCTCATCTTGTACGCAGGGCCCTGGGGGGGGGGGGGCAGAACTTTTCTTCGAAAGGTGGGTGCGGCACCCATTGAAATGGTCATTTTTCGCTCTGTATGCCATGGTGAAAAAAATTTCGAGGGCAGGGGCACGGACCCAGTGTGCCATTCTATGGTTACACTACTGCTAGTAGGGGCCATTTTTATGGAGCTCCACCGACGAATTCTTTTGATGCAGCGTCACACTGTTGTCATCCTGCTGTGACAGGCCGACAACAGTGTGAAGCAGAAGGCGCCAACGTTTATAGAAAGAGTATCTATAAACGTTGGAAGGCGCGATTCTCTCTCGGCGGTGTGAAAACCACGTGAACTGCCCAGCACGCACGTCGTGACGAACCATATCATCGGAGCAGCGCTCAACACGCTGGGCCAGCGTGGCACCGTTGGTGAAATCAAGTTCGTACGAGGGCTAACAACGAGCTCGGCGATAACGAAGCAAGCACAAAAGAACGCGTGCTAGATGCATTCACAACGACCAGTGTGGTGTCAGTGTTTTCACGTCATTGATTCACGCACTGTACAGACAACGTGATCAGCCGTGCGCCACCTTCTACCAGAGTTATTCAATAATACGAGCTGCGAAACTCCCCATGGTCTCCATGCATCAAAATCCGAATACTACATTGGCTGAAATGGTGATAGTGAGTAGATTGTGGCGTCATCTCTTAACAACAAAACTAACTAGAAAGCGCAATACTTTGTGTTTTTGCGTTTAGCAAGATTCTGCCAAACAGCATGGCAGCGGGCAGGGCTTAGCATTTGTTCTTAGGCGAGTTGGTGCCTAAGGATGCTGAACATGTTACTTTGTCGCAGTGGTGGAGACGAGATAAAGAACAAAGGAGCTGCTTATTCTCTTGATGTTGTGTTTATTTTTCATAGTTTCCGCATTGCGCTAGAAGTAACGTGGCTATAAGCGGCATGTTCATGTGGTAGGTACACAGCTAGCACAGCGTAATGGACGGTGCAGCGAAGTCGGTAGTTTATCAGATTCATGTGGCGAGTACACGATGTTAACATTTCGGCAAAATAGTGAGCGGCAAGACGTGATGCAAGCGGGATGCAGCGTTGATCCGGGTGGATCCAACCTGTGAGTCTGTCGACGACAGCAGACGACGTTGCCCGAGCAGCAAACGCCGTTGCCGTTGGAAAGACTCCACGAACATAGCAACTCAAGAGCAAAGAACGCTTGCAGTGCTAGTTGCAAGTAAATAGCAATGTTCAAGTTCCCGCTTTCTTGTCATCGGGCTTTCATAATTATATGGCATCCCAGCCGGTGTCTCATTGATTTCGCGATTAGTGGAATTCGACCGCTGCGTGCAAGACAAAGCGGTCAATTTGCGGTAAGTACTGATCAGTAGTGTTGTGCTTTGGTTTGCACTCTACCGTATCTGTGTCTTGTTTGTGCGGCCATCACTCCCGTCATGTTAGTGAAACATATCGTGAACTGCAGAGTGGAACAGTTAAAAGCATTCGCCAAACTTCCCGTGATAATTGATCTCAAGCGCACATTTTCAAACGAGCAAGCGAGGAGTAACAGAAACAACCACGGCGCAGCGTTAAAACCATGGTAGCACTAAAATGCAAGCACCTCCTTCGACGAAATAAACCTTGACGCTTTGACGCGGCTTTGATTACGCCTTTGAAGAGCGAAAACAGATGACAGCTGGGGCAGGCGCTGTGCAAGCTAGGGACGTAAGTGTTGCGTGCGGCATTGAGCTGCCTAAAAAAAAAAAAAAAGCGCACGTACAAATGGCGATGCAGTGTTTTGTATTGTCGCTCCCAGATGGCGCAACGATCGGCTCACTTCCGCTAGGTCGGCCAATGGCGTCTTCGGTTTTCGAACTGTATCCGTGTTGCTCAGATTCTGTCGCTTCCTTTGCTCTGCCTTATTAGTAGTTTCGCAACTCATATGATTGAATACCTCTGCCTTCTATGGTTTCATTCCGTCTTTCATGCGACCGGCGCAGCGCCCGGCCACCGAGCCCACGTTCCACGTAAGACTCGCCGGCGTCAGCACTGCGCAACTGCGCTGACTTTGAGCACGGTCCAAGTGACGAACGTAGTTTCTGTAACGCCACAAGAACAATGCTGGGGGCGAGCATAGCAAGCGAAACAGAAAAGGTGTTTTCATACGCACATGCAAGCTATCAATGTGGACATATCGAACGCGAAACTACGTATGTGCACACGACGTCCTCATGCGTCCTGCAGGGCACAACTATTTTGTTCCTCGTCACAAAGATCACTGCACAACCATCACTGACCTGCAAGACGTTCGTCATGGTTCTGCTTTGCTATGGTCCCCAAACGCAGTTTCGCTGAACACTTCAAATACATAAACCGCGTCATCCAGCGCACGACACAATGATATGCACTCGTTCTACGCACTGTTGAAGCCCCGTGGCTAACAAAAGGTGTCGTAAACGTTGCTAGGAGTACAATAACTGCCGGGAGAACACTGCGTAACTAACAAATGGGCACAGAGAACGGATATCGTCCGCCACGGCTCAGTACGAGACCTACTGAGGCGCACATGCCGCCGCCAGCCGAAGCCGCTCACTGCTAGACCAGCTACACCACGCAACAGGTAACTAGAGCAACGCCGCCATTTTGTCCAGCATAGACTTTCCTAATTTAGAAAACTCTATGTATAGGGCGAAGTTGTTTCTTTCCTCCATGCTCTATGACGTCCAGCTGCAGTGAATAAGGCCGCCACGACGCCATTTCCGACACACTTTCTCGTAGCGCAGCGGCTAGGCAAGCCCTCTCCTCTCATTCTTCCCTCCATGCGGGGCTCACTTTTCTCTTCCTTTCTGCTATACAACCTCCCCCCCCCCCCCCCCCCCGCCCAGAGCACAGCCCTCCTGCCTGCCGCATCAGCAGCCCCGCTGTCATTTGCTCCACCAGGCAGCTTTGGTATCAGAGTAGTCGCTCAACTGAAACCCGCTCAATGGGGCTAAAATAAATTTACTCTTTACAGGCAACTAAAAAGAGTCGCAGTACAAATGGCAGTTTCCTGATAAAAGATCAAGTTACATATAAAACCGGCTAATAATCGACAAATTTTTATTTAAAGAAAACATTACTTTTTGAAAAAAGTGCATGCAAATTACGCATGTGGTGGGTGCATGCTTGATGGCCGCATTTTTGTAGATTTGCCGGCGCCGTACATACCGAAAACATTATACGTTCAGGGGTTACTGCATTCCACGCATCAGCGTATGCGGCCTCACCAAGTTTGAGGCGCCAGGGACGGCTTTCAGCTCTCCCATAGTAGAGTACCGAGT